CTATGTTCAATATATTATAGCCACATGTGGTTCCCTAAACTCAGGCTAATACAAACTGAGATTCCTATAAGAGTAAAATACACACTAGACCTCAAAGACTCCATTTAAAAAAAAAAAATAAATAAATATCTCCTTAGTATTTCTTATTGACTACATGTAGATATTACTACAATCAGTTTCACCTGTTTTTTTTTTTGAGAGAGACAGACAGAGATAGAGATAGAGAKAGAGAGAGAGAGAGAGAGAGAGAGAGAGAGAGAGAGAATCTTTTTTGTAGAGGACACAACACAATGCCTTTTTTTTTTAATGTGGTGCTGAGAATTGAACCCGGGTCCCGCCCATGCTAGGCAAGCGCTCTACCGCTGAGCCACAATCCCAGCCCCACCTGTTTCTTTCTTTCTTTTTAAATTTTTTTAGTTATACATGGGCACAATATCTTTATTTTGTTTTTTATTTTTATGTGGTACTGAGGATTGAACCCAGGGTCTCACAAGTGCAAGGTGGGCACTCTACTGCTGAGCCACAACTCCAGCCCCCACCTGTTCCTTTTTTAATGTGGCTACTATAAAATTTAAAATTACAGATATGATTCATTTTATTTGGACAGTTCTATTCCAGAACATAAATCTTTAAGAATTTGTACATTTCTGAGGGATATTTATCTGAAACTGGATTCACCAGCTCCAAAGGGTAGATATCACACACACACACACACACACACACACACACACACACTTTCTCTCTCTCTCTCTCTCTCTCTGTTTTATTTTTATTAGTTTTATCAGTATAGGAAGACTATTGGGGAAAATAGTAGTCTCTTTCCTCCACACTACCATCCCCTTCCTTATAGTTGATGTCTTTCTTTTTCTTTTATATTTATTTTTTAGTTTTAGGTGGACACATATCTTTATTTTATTTTTATGTGGTGCTGAGGATTGAACCCAGCGCCCTGCGAATGCCAGGTGAGCACGCTACTGCTTGAGCCACATCCCTAGCCCCAGTTGATGTCTTTATTAATTATGTATCTTCAAATAACATACATTTTGATTTTTCATTTTTAAGCATTACATTCACAAGCATACCTTTTCCATCATTTTATTATCCCAATATAGTTTATTTTGACTAGATAATTCCTAAGTGTTCACATTATGACTATTAAAATCTATTTACAACTGAACTATGGAATACATCATGGTTATCTTTTGTGCACTTCTTTTTTAAAATTAAAAAATATTTTTAAGGGGCTGGGGTTGTAGTTCAGCGGTATAGTGATCACCTAGCATGTGCAAGGCCCTGGGTTCAATCCTCAGCACTACATAAAAATAAATAAGTAAAATAAAGGTATTGTGTCCAACTACAACTAAAATATATATACATATATATTTAAAATTCATTTTTACTTAGCTTTTTATATATTAATTGCTAATCACTAATTTTACCCAAACTCTTATTGATTGTAGTGCTGGGGATCAAACCCAGGGCCTTGCACACGCTACACAAATGCTCTATCACTGAAGTACACCCCCAGCTCCCTTTTATTCATTTTAAATAGTTTCTTTCATGATATTATGACATACTAGTATCCTAGCCATTTTCACCATTTTTAGTGAAAACTGTTCTCAAAGCCTCCTGACAACTTCTACTGGCATAAAGTTGTCCCCGCAGGATCTCTTAACTTTACCATTACATTAGGAATTCCCTTTGTACATCCTCTTGTAGCTTCACATGAAAAGGTTAATGAGAAGTAAAATGTTTGATAGCACAGATGTTTTAAAAGATCTTCATGAGGGGAAATGGTGGTACACGCTAAATTTCAGTGACTTAGAAGGCTAAGACAGGAGGATTACAAATTCAAAGCCAGCTCCAGCAACTCAGTAAGGTCCTAAGCAATTTAATGAGATCCTGTCACAAAATAAAAAATAAAAAGATCTAGGAATGTAGCCCAGTGGTAAAGAGCCACTGAGTTAAGTTCCCAGTACCAAAAGAGAAAAAATAAAAAACAAACAGGGCTGGGGTTGCAGCTCAGTGGCAGGGTGCTTTGTCTAGCATGTGTGAGGCACTGGGTTCGATCTTCAGCACCACATAAAAAAATAAAAAAATAAAGGTATTGTGTCCATCTATAACTTAAAAAAATAAACATTAAAAAACAAAACAACAACAACAAAAAACCCACAAACATCTTTATGCACCAGACTGACAGTTTAGTTGAGTATAGAATTTCTAGGTTGGAAATAATTTCCCCTCAGATTTTTGTAGGCATCATTCACTGCCTTGTAGCTTCTAGTACTGCTGTTCAGAGATTCAAAGCTATAGTAATTTCTGCTCTTTCCTTTGCATATGATTTTTCTCTCTCTGGAAGCCTGAAGGATCTTCTCTTTATTTTCAGTGTTCTGAAATTTCACAATGATATACCTTGTGTGGTTCTATTATCCGTTATGCTGTGTTCTCAGTGGATCCTTTTGACCTGAAAATCAATCTTTACTACTTCTAGGGATTATTTTATTAACGATTTCCTCCCTTCACTTTCTCTATTCTCTTTCTGAAATTTCTAAACTTAGAACTATATGTCCTAGGTTCTCCTCGAATCTTTATCTACCTTTTTTCTCCTATTTTTCATCTCTCTTTCTCTGTTCTACCTTCTCAGAGACTTCTTCAACTTTATATTACGATTTAATGTGTTTTAAATTTTTGTTATATATTTTTTAATTACCAAGAGCTCTCTTTTTCCATATATATATATATATATATATATATATTCAAAAAACAATGCTGCTATTGTTTGCTTTAGTCTCTTTCTTATTAAAGGCTTTCTTTGGAAGTCAACTCTTGATTATCTATCATTTTAAAAGTGGAGAGCTGCACACTAATTGGCACTGTGAGAACATAGCTAGACTTGACATATATGAATTGTACTATTGGATGATCTAGTTGGCCATTTCAGTGAGGAAACCTTGCTGTCAGTGTCCTTAGATTTTTCTTTAGGGTTGGTTAGTTTTTAGAGCACATTCTTTCAATCCMTTGCTGGAGCTAAGGGTACAGCTCAGTGATAGAGGGCTTTCCTAGCATGCAGGAAACCCTGGGTTTTTGATGCACAGTATCACAAAATGTAAAATCAATAAGTAAATGACAAAATTCTAAAAAAATATTTTGCCTGGAAGATACAAACCTGAATACCAGCTTTCTGAAGCATTAAAAGGAAGGCAGGCAGGAAGTATATACATTTATTTAATCTCCCTCTTCTCAGTACAGTACCTTGTCTTCAAAGGTATCTTGTATCCCTTAGTCCAGAGACCTTCTCTTTTGCTTTTTCTAAAGAATAAATCCTTGATTTATTTTTTAATTTTTTTAAGTTGTWAATGGACCTTTATTTTATTTATTTATATGCAGTGCTGAGAATCGAACCCGTGCCTCCCACGTGCTAGGCAAGTGCTCTACCACTGAGCCACCACTCCAGCCCCTAAATCTTTAATTTTTGCTGGAGAGAGAAGAGCACCTAGGGATACATGAGTTCTTAAACAAATTTTTTTAAAAAATGTTTTTGTTAGTTGTTCATGGACCTTTATTTTATTTACTTATTTATATGTGATGCAGAAAATCAAACCCAGTGCCTCACACATGCTAGACAAGTGCTCTACCACTGAGCCACAACCCCAGTCCCCTTAAACAACTTTCGACCAATTTTTCTAACTATAGTACAACATCTCTACCCCCCATCCACTACAGACAGCCAATTCCTGAGTCTTTAGGGAATTTCCCAGTGTCAACAGGCTAATTTTCAGCACTTCCCTTTACTGGCTGAGAATTCAATTTTCTTCATTTATTTTTATTTTTAAAATTTTATTCTTTTTAGTTATGATACAACACCCTGACATAATCACAAACACATGTAACCAAACCCTCTCCAATTCAGTCCCTAGCACTTCTACCTGACCTCCAGGATTCAATTTTCTTGGGACTCATAAATCATTTAAAAATTGTTCATCTGCTTTGCAACTTCCAATATGTTGTTGCCTTCTCTTCTGTGTTCTTCCATCTTTATATGGACTTATGCCTTTAAAAAAAAATTACTTTACCATTGTTTCAGGAGAGGGTGAAAGGAAATAAGACCTATGTGCTCAATCTATCAATTTTACATAGAAATTCCTAGGACTTCTTTCCCTCAATGCCCACATGAGGTTTTTACAGGGCCAAAGGTGTCTCCTAGCCTTCTGTGAAAAAGAAGATCTTTCAATGAATCACTCTTTGTAAAAGCATATCTAGAAGATCAAGACTATCCAGATGCACTTCTGTAWGCAAAGGGTTCACTGTGTACCTTCACTGGTAATGCCACTTACCAGTATTCGAAAAATATTCAGATTAAGATTTTTTTTTAAAAAATAGTATATAAAAAGCTAAAAGATGCAAGATGTTCTTGGTATTAAATGGGGAAAAGACTCTCAACCTAGCCAAAAAGAAATCAAAAGTAATTTTCTAAGACCACACATATATCAGGGAGAAAAGGGGAAAAATCCAACATCCTGKGTACCCACTCCAAACCAAGTGACTTATGCCAATCAGCATTCTCAGCTTATCATGTGCTAAAGCACGTATCATCATGGAATGAGCTACACCTGCAGTCCTTTGGTCCTCTATCCAAAGAGTACTTATGTTATATGTTGGGTCTTTACAGTTCACAGACTTGACATGAACACAATACTATTTTGATGTTATTTCTATAGTTTATCATGAATGGATCAGGTTGTCGGACTACGTTATCTCAGTATCAGAAATCAAATAGATATTTCTTAGTCAACAACAAGAAGCAATTATCTCAACAAGTGACTCTTGATTCAAAACATCATCCAGACAAAAAACAGCACCCAGATATTAAGTTAACTATAGAGGCAGCTCACACTTGCTCTTAAGTGTCCATTTTAAAGGAACCCAGGTTTCAGAAGCAAGCTAACATTCTACCAGCCAAGCTGGGAATGCCAGGAAAGGCAATAAAGGCAGTTAAGTACCTGCACTGATCCCCCATGGCGGTCTGCAGCCAAGTGAGACGTCAGGTATGAGGTATTGGTCTGCCGGCTGGGCTGGATTTCCCACTCTCCTCGGCGCTCTGACGATGCAGTCTGCTCAGGCATTAGGAAGCATGTCAGCAAGATATGGAAGGAAAGGTGAAGCAACAGCAAGCATAAACAAAATCAAGTACATTAGTGCCCCTGAAGGTTTTGTTTTYGGTTTGGATTTTAAACTAACCACTGCTGCAAAGCACTAAGAAAAAGTTAACATGGCTACATTCATCTCAGCCTGATGAGCCAATACACGAGACTACAGCACACCATCCTCATCCAGACACACAAAAACCGGTAATGACCAAAAGCAGGAGGCAAAGGGGAACATTCAAAGCTGGAATCACCTTTTCGCTTCCACATTAGTAAAATTTCAGTAGCCACTGAGCAGACCAAATTCAGAATTTTAAGATTGTTGAACAAAGGAAGACTCATATTTACAAATCATTTCACTGATTAAAGATCTGAACAGATAGTAGTAAATAAAGAAAATCCATGGATTAGGAATCAAGAATCATATGCCTTTCCCTTAAATAAGGAATCTACTACTCTCAACATTAACCTCTATGAGACTTTCTACTAAGATAAAAGGAGCAGTGGCAGGAATATGCTTTCTTATCTAAAAGAATGAACAAATTATCTTTTCAAAAACAGATTCATATGTCAAGAATAAATGATGGGGAGATAAAAAGTCTTGATTATTTTCTGGTTCCTCTAGTTAACAGCCTCTAGTTTGAAATTAGAAAAAGTTTACATGAAAACTATGAATTATTTTCTCCTAGAAAGCAAAAGGCAGATCTTTTCTCTGCAAAAGGCGGGCCTCCAGTTAAAAACCTCTTTGGATTCTGCTTTCACCTTTGCTGTCATTCAGGCTCTCTTCATTCCTGTTTTTTAGATTTCATACTATTCTGATCTTGCTCATATGTGACTTTTATTCTGAAGAATCTGTTTAGGTGCCTCTTCCCCTGTGCCAGATGGCTGAGGAAGTGTTAACATCATCATGCTCAGCTGTAACAATCCTAAGGCTCTACAAAAATGAAAAATGAGTAGTTGGAGAGGCAGCAAAGAGGGATTAATAAATCAAATTTTAATTGCTGCTGATATAAACAACAGCAGGGGCTGGGATATGATACTGCTGCTCTGTATGAAAACCAGTAAGGATCCTATAAATCTTAAAAATGTTGTAACTATAATATATTCTAAAGAAAWGGAAGAGTAAGAAAGCAATGATTTGAGGCTTTTTATTCGCAATTCTGCTGCAGGACTTCACTGAGSAGAGTTGCTTAGAGCTCATCCATAAGTCAATTAAAAGGCATTTCCCATAACGCAGCTACAACTTACTCATTGTTATTAATGAAAATGAAGTAATGTGGGTAGTAGCACTACAGAGGATCCTAGTCATGTTTTCTCTGATATTCCTTGGAGAATGAGCAGATAGCCTTAAGATGGTGACTGTTATTAATTTGCATGCTATATAATCTTACAGAAGAGGAGTTTGGTTTTATACTGCTATTTTCTTATTAGAGAGAATAAAAAATACCCTAAATGTCACTCTCCCATTCTTTTTTCTTCTTTCTTTCTTTGTAGTAATGGGATTGGAAGTCAGAGGCATTTGAACACTACGCTACATCCCCCCTACACTTAACTCCCCTTTTTTAAAAATTTTGAGGCAGGGTCTTGCCAAATTGCCCAGGCTAGGCTGGAACTTGTGATCCTCCTGCCGGAGACTCTTGAGTAGCTGCAATTACAGGTGTGGGCCAACATGACCATCTTACCTTCATTTTTTCTGCCAAAAGACATTCAGGTATTTATCTTCCAAAGTAAGATGGTGTATATGACATAATCATACTATTATATAAATTTACTGATGGTGTCTATATTCTTATAGCACTTAATTTATTCTGACTCCCACTAAAGATCCAAGAACACACCCATTCTTTTTAATATTAGAAGTAATATCTATAACTAATATCTATTAGATTCTCTGGGACTTTTTTGTGTGTAATATTTAAGTAGAATATTTAAGCTTCTACACTATTACACAACGCTGTCAGTTCTCCAATTCTCTTAAAATGATCAAAAAAATCCATACAAGTCACTTAGTATTGTTTTGAGTTTTATGATATATATATTCAATTTAATTACTACCTTCTCATGATTATACTCTGTTTTTTGCATATTTTTAAGGGTAGATAATATTAAAAACTGCTGAGAATGTACACTCATACACATTCTGTGAGTGTGTGTGTTTGTGTGTGTGGTGGGGAATGAACTCAGGGCCTGGTGCAAGCTAAGCAGGTACTCTACCACTGAGTCATACCCACAGACATCATATGCTTTTAAGGTTAAGAAAGCCCTGAGAGCTAATCACTTATTATTTCTATTTTTATTTAAATATGTATCAGAACTCTGGTTTGATAATACTGTCTGATTCACAGGACTATGTACTAGTTCATATTAATTCTGGCTAAACAATTTCTTGGAAGAATTAAGATTTTTGTTTAAATGAAATAGCAAGACATTTTTCAAAGACTAAGAGTCACATTCTACCTCCATTCTCAAAGCAATATGCATTTACCTTTTAAAGACAGAAAAAAATTAACATTCCTGATTCCTTCATAAATACTTCCACTGTAACCAAGCAAAGACATGACTCATACCACAGCCCTCCAGTGCCTTTTATGTCCACTGAAAGCAATATCACCAAGTGATAGAGTTGAATTTAGGGGATGTTTTATGGCTTTGGAAAATACTTTTCATTAAAATGCTAAGCTTTAGGGCAATTCACTTCTGGAATTTAAAGGCTGAGACTGGTACCTAAAGACCAATGTAGTAAAATGGGCTGTTCATCAGTTTTACAAAGTAGCTGAATGCATAGAAGTCAGATGAAACCAAGGATGCTGACAACTACATTTTCTGCTAGTGTAACTAACTTCCTCTGCAAAGTACTCTAGGCAACACTGTGTACACAGGATCTATAATTAGGCATGATCAGCACAGTAGCTTGTTAGACAAGCAAGCCAGTGGAGATCAACATGTAACCATTTCATTCTTAAATCTCTCTCACACACACCACACACCCCTATCTAAACGGCAATCAAGAGGCTCACGGGTAGAGGAGTCATTCAGCAAGATCAATTTCTCTGCATTACTTGAAAGGCAAAGGTCCACATGTAGAGTTTTAAGTCCCCAAAGGCAGAAGCAGGAATCTCAAGAAGTGGTACCTCCCTTCCCTGGGGAAACACTTTAAAATCTTCAGTTGTGATTGCATTACCTGTGTAAAAATGTTTGGTGTACTGTGAAGTAATGTGGAAAAAAGAAAGCTGCAATCCAACATAGAATGTATCACAGGCAAAACTAACAAAAAGCACCTAGGAAAAAAGGTGACTGGTGAACAGGTGAAAACCACCACCTGTGCCTAGAGCAAAAGAGGTGATGGAGACTATCCTTGCGGTCCATTTGGCAGGGATTAACTGACACTAACAACAGGGTGGGAAACACTGTCTGAAAAAGTCTCAGCTATCACCCCTATCTGTGGCTTGAAAATTATTTCAAATTTCTATTGGAAATAAAGCTACTGTTCTGACAGAAGACAAACATCTTGCTCTTGAGGCAAATAAATTACCAAATCCTATTCTTCATATAAAGTTAATTTTGAAAAATTGATTGATTGATTACATTAACAAAGAACTTTACCCATTTCATTTTATGGCTCCAAAATTTTTTAAAAGTTGCCATCTACAAAAAACATTTTGGTCTCTCATGTCAGTCTTATTAGCTTTATTAACTGTCTTCAACTATGAGAAAAATAGAGATTGAATAGTACCAAAAGATTAACAAAGAATATACTAGACCATATTTTATTTTATCACACTTTCAAGAAAAATATTTTTTCTTTCTTTCTCTTCTTAGTGCAAATAAGTAAAAGGCAGAAAGTATGGGGCAAGCATTTTAAGAAATTTGGGGTGGGGTATAGAAGACCTTGACAAGCCAGGGAGAGTGGTGCATGCCTATAATCCCCACTACTTGGGAAACTGAGGCAAGACAATGGCAAGGTTGAGTCAGTCTCAGCAAGTTGTCTCAAAAAATAAAAAGAGCTGGGGATGCTGAGAGAGGAAGATCACAATTTGAGGTAAACCTCAGCAACTTAGAAAGACTCTCAGCAATTTGTCTCACCAAAAACAAACAAAGAAGATCTGGGGGGACTAGGGTTGTGGCTCAGCAGTAGAGTGCCTACCTAGCACAAGTGAGGCATTGGGTTCAAACCTTAGCACCACATATAAATAAATAAAATAAAGGTATTGGGTCCATCTATAACTAAAAAAATTTTTGAAAAATAAAAAAAAAAGACCTGGGAATGCAGCAGTGGTCAATTGCCCCTGGGTTAAACCCACAGAACTGAAAAAAATGAAAATTAAAAACAAGACCTTAACAAGTATAGAACAAAAACAATAAAAAAGGGTCAACAAGAAAGGTTATTGAAATGTATATTTCAACAAAGCTAAAAACTTCCTTCTATTAAGGTAATGAAATAGAACCAATTTCCTTGTGCCAAACAAGGGTTACTCCAGGCAATTCCATCATTTGTGCCAACAACAACTTCTTGTATTCTACATACAAACTTGATCAAATATGAGAGATATTTTAAAAATCACTGACAACACAAACAACCTGGAAGATTACATCAAGGATCAATATTATATATGTCCATGGAAAATTAGAAGTATAGATTCTGTAAAACTCTTAGGAAAAAAAAAATCACATGAAGCATTCTAGAAGTTTACAACTTGAGCTGGGTACCTAGGCACATGCCAGCATTCCCAGCTACTAAGAAGTCTGTGAATATATCAGACTCCCAACTCTAAAAAGTGAGTAAATTAAAAAATGGTATAAAACACTCCTCCATGAATGGCACAAAACAATCCCTTTGATGGAATTACTCCAGGACCACTAAGTCTCATCTTACAAGGAGATGGCTCAGAAAATAGGGTTTCTGCTGAAACACAAAATATTGGAGAATGTGGGGAGCAGAAAAAAATTTTCAAGATGAAGTAGAGAAT